GTTAACCTTTCCTTCAAAAAGTTAAGAGGTTGGGTTCCCTTTTTTTCCCAACCATTGTACCCTGTTTTCGTTGTCGCTTTCTTTGGGGGGGGGGGGGGGGGGGAATGTTTCTTCACGGCGGTGGTTTTTTGTTGGGGCCGCCAAAAATCACAGACGATCAGTCCATGTCGCGATCGAGGGCTTCTCATACTTCATGTCATGACGTGGGACAGACAGGTGGCGTGACAGGGTTCCCGCTTCGGAGCACCGGGGAATAGCGACTCATTTTTTTACAGAAAGGGGAAAATTTCGTCCGGGGAAAAACGACTAGGCTAAACTAAGCGAATACATCATCTTAATGGCATTGATCATGGTATCAATGCAGCCCGCCAACGACAGAAAATTCGTTTACTATGGTAAAATGATATTACATGTATTAATCTAATTAAATTCGGACCCAGCGTATCAAAATTCAGAAAATAACTCGCGTGCGGTGATTCTTTTTCCTGCCGGATTTAAGTATATTTAGAAGATCAACCCCCCCCCCCCCCACACACACACACGATTTCACCATTTAGATCTAGATTCTAGTATTTTCTAATCACAAAGAGGACGGACAACTGTCAATTTTAACATGATCTTGTATATATGTATACCCCCCCCCCCCCCACACACACACACCCAAATCAGAACTGAGAGAGGCAAGATGTAACGCAGAATCCCTTAGGCTAGATGTTTGCCTCCGCATGGGATTAAACTTTGTATGCAGAATCAGAGGCGAAGCGTCAATATAATCAAATTATAATCACTGCTTCCCTTCCTAATTTTGAAACATTGTCGCAGTCAAACTCACCCATAAACGTAAACTTCATAAATTAAATGTAAAAAGACGTTCATAATCAACACTGAACAGTATGCCTAACATTCTAAACGGTTTAATTGCCACAGAAATAGCCTGTTCATCCCTCTTGGGCCACTCCATAAGCAGTCACAAGCTTTGATTAAGTAAGCTTAAAGTGAGACTGGAAGAGTCTACCAACAGAATTGAAGGGAACATGTGCATGGCAGTCAAAACTGTTTCATTGCCACATATACCCTGTTCACCCCTTTCGGGCCACAGTTATAATCAGTCTCAAGCACTGATTAGGTAAGCTGACTATTACACTGGTCGAGTCTACCTCACAGATGTGAGGGGAACTAACTCCTAATAATCTCTCGACTGCTTCGAGTGCTTGTTTTTTTTTTCCCCTCGACTTTTTACTGCCCTATAATCAGACCGTGACCTCGATTATGACACAGACTCGTGGCCGCGAAAGGCTAGACAAGAAACAGCCTAATGTGAAATAAAAAAAATGATAATTGTCATGTTCTACCAAAGAGTTAGAGACTCCCTGGTAGATCTATAACAATTAGATCTAGTACTGACATCTCTGCTTCTTTGCTTTGTGCTTATGTCTAAAGTTAAATTTAATTTTAATTGGAATTTATATTAAGTGAGATACTTTCCCGATTATTTTGGCGGTTGAACATACAGTAATGAATTCCGGGTTTGTTTTCATTCACAACTCTGAGTCGCCGCCTCGAGCAAGGTTCTTGTGTGATATCCCCAGGCCATATCTGGTCCAGTTTCACTTTGATTACCCTGTCAAACAAGTCAGCCTTCGCCCGTGTGCAGAATTTTAAAAATAAGTATAGTATATAGCCGCTAAAAATGTATTTCATTTTATAAAAATAATCAAAGTCGCTCGCGTAAAACTTGATTTGATGCCACATTTAAACTTTAGCAAACTTCACTTTTGAATGTCTATTTTGAATCAGAGGTCGGCTGCACCGGAGAACAGCGACTAGTATTTTACTATATTTCTTTGTTACATTTGAACTTGGAGTAATCGCCTACAGTATCGAATACAATTAGACCAAACATGTTACTGTACCATTTCGTCTCGATTTTCAGTAAGCTTAATAGAGCTCAGTCAAATCTGCCGCCAATCTGTTCCTAAGGAGGAACAAGAAAGAGAGAAGTTGATCACAGCGTAAAGCAATAGGGAGATGTCGCAGGGAGAATTTTAAATAAATATTTCTTTTAAAATGCTGTCCGCGCAGTAGCAAGTTTGAAAACAGCCTCCAGAATGTTCTTAAAGTTTGTACTTTTGTTTTTTTCTCTTTGCATTGTCCTCTTCAGGTGGATGTCATCATTTTCAGTTTAGATGTAGCGATTGCAATTCTCCGTTTCATCTTTTGTTTTCCGATTAGGTATTGTTTCTCCATGATTGGTTTATCGTACTCCTACACGATCATACTCTTACTCACATGATCACACACACACACACACACACACACACACACACACACACACACACACACACACACACACACACACACACACACACACACACACACACACACACACACACACACACACACACACACACACACACTTACAGACAATCACATAAATTTATAATTGGTTTTATTTTTATTAAACATACATGCAGGTGTGAGTATCAACAAAGTACAAATACAATTT